AACTAGTCTCAGGTTTGTCTCAAATTAGTCTCAGGTTTGTCTCAAACCTCATGTTTAGCTCAAACTTGTCTCTTGTTTACTTTATGTGGGTAGGAAATGTGAGACCAATTGGGGACAAAAACAAGATTGTGATTGTGACGATTGTATCAAACAAATGTTGAGGTAACGTCTCCAAATGGGATCAAAGTCAACGTTTCTTGTCTTTGGAGATCAGGATTGGACTTTGACTCTTGCCAGAACCTCCTGGTTTGATCAGACTTCCTGTTTATAACAAAATAAAAGTGATTTCCACATGAATGAACGTTTTGAAACATCCGGAGGTTTCTCTGCAGAACTCCCCGAGAATTTTCAGAGGAAAACTGAACGAACCTGACTGGGTTCTGCTGAAAGTTCTGTTCAGTTCTGGTTCTGTTCAGTCTTACAGAAACATGAAATTAATAAGATAGAACTTTATTGATCCACAGGAAATTGTTGTGCCAGAGTTTCAGTACAAAGGAGCATACACAAGATATAAGAAGTAAGAGAGAATATAAAAATACCAACATTAAGGTGTAAAACAGGTTCAGGTCAGACAGAAACATTAAAGCTTTTATTTTGGTGCAGGATTAATTTTATTGTCCTAAAGGCTGAGGAGTTGAGCAGTTTTGAAGGACTTCCTGTTCTGTGGAGCGCCTGGTGGTCTCAGTCTGACTGAAGGTGCAGGAAGAGTCCAGGGTGTCCCGGGGGGGTGAGTGATGTTCAGGATGTGGAGCAGGTTCCTCAGCATCCTCTGTCAGAGTAATAATAATAATAATTAACAGAAAATGTGAATGTTTTTGTTCATTAATCCATAAAATAAACTTTTCTGAAACAGAAAACAGTTTGTCCTGTAAACAATACGCGTTATTAAATAGGAAACATGATTTATTTTGGTAAATATTTACTTTTTCAACTCAAAGGTTGTACTTGAACTAATAAAATTCAAGAAGTTTTTATTTTTAAATAGAAAAAACTTTTAAAACATTTTATTAAAAAAATAAACAATTAAAAAAAGAAACGGGGATATTTATCTTTCGTTTTATTCTGAAACGCTAAAGAGGCGTGGCCACGGGACCTACCTTCCTGTCAGGCAGCGCTCAGGGAACACTTGACCCACGCGCCTCGGACTGATGCTGCGTTAGAAGCTGACCCGAGTCCAGAACCGAACCTCAGCCGGACCGGAGCCCGGAGTGTCGGACAGTAGCCCTGCCAGGAGCCGGTTCTGTTCAGTGCCATGTGGTTCTGACCGGGTTCGGATCGGTCCCGAGCCGCAGGTGAGTTCGGTTTCATGTTTCACCTCTGCTCCGGGTCTAACAGCCGAACCGGACCGGAAGCGTTCTGTCGGGACCTCAACACAACCAACACCCGAACAACCGAACCGAACCACCCACACGTGTTATGGGTTTCAGCCAGGGCAGAAACCATCCTCTTCCGGTTCTGGAGCTCCCACCTGGGCAGGTGGCGGAAGGTCAAAGGTCACGAGCCTCAACTGGACCGGCCGAAGTCCCGAGACCGAACCGTGCTGAACCGGTTCTTAGGTTTGTAGCTTCGGGGAGGTTCGGTTCGGTTGGAGTCTCCTCAATTTAAAGAACTCGACAGAAGTTTTGAGGTTCTGTTCGTCAAGAGTCCGGTTCGATCAGCGACGATCGATTAACTGTGACGTCACAATTAGTTTATTTCTAAAGCTCCAAGTCTCAAAAGAAGTCATGGACTGAACAGAAACATTCATCAATAAAATAATAATTTAACAGAAACATTCATCAATAAAATAATAATTTAACAGAAACATTCATGTATAAAATAATAATTTAACAGAAACATTCATGTATAAAATAATAACTGAACAGAAACATTCAT